AGTATAGTTGAGCATGCCTTTCTAGTTCCGGATGAAGAGTAAACATTCCATCCGCAACGAGGACACGCAGTCCATTCTGACAAGCCTTCTTAATGGAACAAAATAAATTTTGAACACATGCCACCAATTAGTAAAATAGTGACTTGAATGGTCTCTTCCGAGTAGAAGATATGGAAGGCTCCACTTTGTTCCTGTAAGAAGAACAAACCATCAGCAAGCTTTGAAATTTCATCTGGAACGCTTTGCATCGACGGTCTTGTCCCTGTGAATATTGGTGGCCCTGTAAAATGTTTTCTCGCCGGCAAAATAGTAAATATTCGAGAATATGAATTTTTGTTCAAACCGCGAAAAAGACCCTTGTCTTTAATTGTACCCATAACCATGTAGATGCGACTGGATCCCCTCCCAGAGGGGCTGCTCTACAACGGAAAGTATTCCTTGTTCAATCCAGAAGCAGTCGTACGTGATTTCCGTTTTGCGATAGATTCTCCTTTGTGGCTATCATTTTTGTCCACTCGCACAAAGGTTTCGCGTATTCGGGGTCTTTTTCAGCTGTTGCACTTTCTATAGAATTTAACAATTAGTGAGATAAATGAACTGCGCAATTACCTACCAGATATGCCATTCAAGTAGCGATCTCCTCTGCCTTATTTTTAGCCTCGCACACATGCTGCATGTCACGAGGATCGGAAGGAAATTCACCTCTCACCTACAACTACAATATTGGAATAGCAGTTGATAAAGCTCAGCTTGACCAGTCAAACCTTCATACTTTTCCACGCTCCACTTTTCTCACATCCTATGCAAATACAAGAGTCGTGCCGAGCACCTCTACGCGCGAGGGCGAAGGAATACGAGGTGCCAGCATAAACCAGAACAGGGTGTGTCCCACGTTTACTTACTTCTTTCCCCAGTGTAATGCTCCTCTGTTTCTTGCAGTTGTATCTGCGAAGTCCTAGTCTCTGCATGCGGATCTCCTAAAATTGAAGAACTATGCCGGCTATCCGTAAAAATGCACAAACCTGGCTGAAGTTGCTGCATCGGCTAGATATAGTTGCTGTGTTGCAGCAGTGATGGCCTTTCGAATAATGCTCATAGAATGAGCATAGAGTTTCGAATGAATAGACATATCAATAGTCAGTTGATTGGAAAAGTTTTTACTCGTTGAAGCCTTTTATACCCGTTTCAGTCAATGAACTCTTTTCAATCACATATGCCTTGCGCATACCTATTCTACTCTACGGTCAAACTCGTGAAGCAATAGCCTTTTGTCTAATTTCATTATCGGGTTGTCATTAATACCTATTCTTGTCCATACTGATTCCCTAGAAAAATTTTACTTTTCCGCCTCCAAGAAGTAATATCATAAGGCTATTACAATCCCCAAAGCAAACGCTAGTTGCTTTTTCCGTAGGGCCGTAGTTTTCACAGGGCTACTACAATCTAGTTGTTTTAATTGTTAGATATACATATGCGTGGTAAACATTTATTCTTCAATGCTACTTATTGAATTGTTTATCAGTTAAGTGAATCATATGAAAGAAAGTAAGCATGTAATTGCTTGGAACATCGCATCGTCATTGTCTTCTTCTCTTATCGGCTCCTTTTCTTCAGTTCAACGGCTTCTTGTCTGTAGAATCCAATTTTTTTAGTCGATGTGGGAATCTCCCTGGAAACAAAGTTCATATCAAAGAGTTTTCCATAACTTTACAAAATATGACGTTTTTTGATAGATTCTGTGTGTTCTCATCTACTTTTTGGAATTTGCAGAAGAGACAGGCATAGTAGCAGTCTTTAAACAACCTTGACGTTTTAAAATGGAATCTGTTTTGGAGGGTGAGGGTACTTAGGTATCCGTTGCATGTACCGCCGTATATCCATAGGAGATCAGCTGTCAGAAGTCTCGGTGCGCAGTAATTAGTACCGTAAGCGGATTCTGCGCTTGCATCACTAACTCCGCCCTTAATTCACTGAGGGCGTATCCTTTTGAGGGGTCAACGTTTTTATGGAATCGCACCCCATGGATGAAACATAATTTTGGAAATACGAAATTCTAGTTAGGGGTTCTCTGGGTAGCTGATTTCGAATAGGGCAATCATTTTTTACCAAACTTAACTTTCTTTCAAAAACAAAGATTCTAGCTGTTGTTTTGTCGTTTACCGTCATATTAGAGATAAGCTTACCTATAACAAGCAAATGTACTTTCTTCTTCCTGCAATAACTGTTGAGAAAGACAGCAGCGAAATTTTAATTGACTTTTGAGAAACCTACGAAAAACTGTCATACAACTGCTCTAACTTCCAGCTTGCAGAAAACTGTTTCGTAGGTCGCCACTCAAACCGCAAAAATTTTGATTGTTTTCTTTGTTTTTCAAGTAAATTAGATTTTTTTCTTTCATACTTACGAATTTTTGGAAGAGGTTTTAAAAACTTCATCTTCACTGTTTTGCTGAAAATGTTCGTCTATTCAAAGAAATCTTGCTTCTAATAACTTTTTTCGTCATTGCATATAGATCTTCAGTAATCTTTGAGTCTAAATATGGCGTTTTGAAACACAATCTTAAGAATTAGCTCTGCCTAAAACTAGTTTGAATCCAAAAATTTCGTATTTATTTTTTGCTCAGTGCTTCATTTAGTCATGCACAATTTATCTGTCATTAAACACTAATTTTTAATGGTTTGGATAATTTTAAGCACTTTTAGCAAGGTGCCAAGATTGCTCGGATTGAAGGGCGGAGCTTGGCAACGTATATCCCAAATATTTGTAGCGTTCTTTGGCAGTAAGCATGAATAATCCGCTATGGGGTGGAGCTAGTCGTAGCGACGTATCCGTAATATAATCGCGAAAAATGAGCGCATTACAGTAAGAGCATGCCCAGGCACGTCAGCTGCGCCTAATATCACGGGTACCTAAGTTCCTCTTCCCGTTTTGAATTGTGAATGGAGTCAAAGCACTCTAATCTATATTGCTAAGGTTGCCTCGCATGAGTATGCGTTGCTTGCGTGTGCTGTCCGAGTTCTTCTGCCGCCGCCAACTTGCGTTGTTGCCAGTCACAAGTAATAACCGCCCTCCGTTTGCACTCCTTCAACGTGTGCCCTGGTTTATTCGTTAGCATCAGAGCATCCGCTGCTCTGCAATGGTTAGGCTGTAGACTGCTTTAATTAGTGGATTGGACTGTTCCAAAAATTTTCCTTTGGAAATTGCCATAAATCTTACGGTGTAATGTCGATTACTTACCCGTTTTTCTTTCCATGTAATCAGTTGTTGATAATGTTTTCTGTTTTTTAGGAGTTTGTTTTTCGATGTGGTTTTCTATTGACATGATGATATAAGAATTTTATGTCAAACTGATGTGTGACAATATACGTGACTCTTTTTAGTACTTTTTTCTTCATTTATTCCAATTTCACTTCACTTTTTTATGTTTGTTGATACTCGTTTCTGTCATTGATGACATAAATGAGTAACATAAAGTGATCTGTGAAATTGCATATATGTGAAGTAAGAGCAAGCCTGTAGCAGTGTTTAGTAAACAATAATAGGAATTTAAAATAAGGAAATAGATGCACTCAACCCTAGAACGAATTTGGCTTGTTGTTCCTGAAATGCTTCGATAGGTACAATATTGAACCACCAGAGTAGCGATAGGTACAAAATTGAACCACCACAGTAGTTGGATATCAGAGTGTTAACAAAAAAGATCTCTCAAAGGAAGGATCTTGCTCGAAGAGGCGATTCAAAGTGAGATGTAACTTACAACGCTGATTCCAAATCTGCCCTCCATATTTGCAAAGCCTTTCTTTCGAAGAATGTTATAAACATTTTTCTCTATCAGAAATGACTTACAATCTTGAAGTAACCAAAATTTCCCTGGACCTGAAACAGCAGCGCAAAGGCTGAATTCTGACGTAACCTTGTTTTTAGAATAAAACAACCCTTTGCTTGTTGTTTCATGATTTGATGTTGTAGAGCAATTATTTACGAGATGCAAACTTCTTCTACAGAAATGCTTCGCAGATATGGAAAGCAGATTTGGAATCAGCGTTTGAAACTGCATCTTTCAGACTGCATCGCTTCTT